TGCGGATATATATATATATATATATATATAATATATATATATATATATAATATATATATATATATATATATATATATATATATATATATATATATATATATATATATATATATATATATATATATATATATATATATATATATATATATATATAAGGAGTGATTTTTCAAAAGGTCGTATTTCCATTTGCAACAATTTTTCAAAAAAATGACTATAACCTGTATAGGTTAGGGCAATATAGATTATTTAAAAAAAATTCTGATGAATATTTAATAATACTTCAGACCTGCTGTCATATTTCGCCGTCAATATATGCCTTTTAACCATACCTTTTCAATACATAAAATATAACATAACTACCGAAAATATCAGAACTCTCAAAAATATTTCATAATTATTATTTGTGATTTTAAAATTACATAATAGTACATATTATGTTATATACAAAATTTACCAAAGAAATACGCACAAATAATATTTATGAAATATTTTTGACAGTTCTGACACTTCTGCACCAAACATGAAAGCCATCTAAATTTTAAATTATAAATAAAACTAACAATATCGCTACTAAACGGCCATTAAAAAAATTAATATATCTTTTAAAGGAATAAAAATAACAAAACAAGACTAACTGGACTGAAAAGATGAAGGTGGGGACTACATTTCCTGAAAGTTTCAGATTTTTATTTTTTCCTCAACTTTATACCTGAAAAAAATGAACTTTCTAAATTCAGTAGAATAGGCACAGGAGCCAGACAAAAATCACAAAAATTGGCAAATTATCATGAATCTTTAGTGGTTTACCATTCTTTTATGAGATTAACTAATTGGATAAAAATAATTTATATCGAAAACACACTTACTGGACAGTATAACAAAATTAAAATTATTTCAATATTTTTCACAGAAAAAAAGTTCTGGCCCACTATAAGAGAGTAAGAAATTGACACTATTTCAGACTTCTAAGGGGTGCCAAATAAAAGTAAAGCAACAAAAAATTAAAACGGCAACGGATTTTCATATTTGACACCTAAAAGATCATCCTCAAATTTTTTCATCAAAATAAAAAATCACGCAGCGCACCCCATTTGGTGTTTTTATTTGGAATGACTCTATGCTTAAATATGTGTTTAAAATACCGTAGCAAGCGGCAAAGAAATAAAATGTATTTATGTGCCCACACGGAACAATTACATCCAATGGATATCCAATGGATTTCTTTTATGGATATCCAGGATATACATAGGATATCCGGGATATCCAATGGATAACCATTGGATATATAAATGTCCGACCCTCCTGGACATAGTGTGGATATCCAATGGATACCCAGTGGATATAGTATTGTATGCAATATGGTTGTAATCTGTATTCAATATGGAGATTGTATGGATATCCAATGGATAACCATTGGATATATAAATGTCCGACCCTCCTGGACATAGTGTGGATATCCAATGGATACCCAGTGGATATAGTATTGTATGCAATATGGTTGTCATCTGTATTGGATATCCATATATATGGTGAATCAATGGATATTTACTTTTTAATAAATAACATTGGGTTTTAAAATAAAAGTCTTATTCTTTAATTTAAATATTTATTTTTATGAAAACATAAAATAGAACAGAAAACTACATATAACTAAAGAAGTGAAGTCTCTGGCTTGCCATCACTCCTCCAGCTGTCATTTGCCTTTTTATCAGCCTAATCATTTAGGGCCTATTTCACCTGTCTCCTTATGATCCCCAAAATTTGGCCAATCCATCAGCCTATTTGTTACCCTCGAGCCTATGTAGGTATAGCTTGCAAATAAAGGTACAGTATATAAATGCATGCATGTACCTATTCACCTTTAATGTTTTACCTTCAATGCTAACCGAAAGTTTATAAATTGCACTTAAATATAGGTACCTATTTAATTTAAAATTGTATTAGTTTTAGACCAATACAATTTAAAATGATAACTATAATTAGAAAATTAATAAAATATTCACTTACCACTATAGACCTCAAACAAATAACCACAAAAACAATAACTTGGCAATAAACTTTATGAAAAACATATAACAAATAGCAATGATGGCGAATGAACCTTTACAATCTGTGGAATGAAGCAAATAAACATGAAAACCCTTTGCATGTACCTAACAATCATGGCATCATATTTAACGGACGCTACCATAGAAAAAGGACGCTTCTTTATCTTCTGTGTTCGCCGGCAGTGTTGTCAGACGTTTAAATAATTTCAGAAAGCTCATCAAAATGGCGGTTATATTATTAAATCTTTAATACTTAATTAATTAGTATACCTATAGGTATACCACCATGGTGGTTACAACGAGAACAACAAACTTGTTATAAATATTAAAAGTATGGCCTTTGCAATTAAAATTTGTACATTATTCTTTTTTCATATTTTGATGGGTTTTAAAAAGTTTTAGTTAAATGCAATGCATACTACAACGCATAAAGCATAAATCATTTTCGTCTCTAGTCTAGCGAACTATTCATATACAGTGAGAACTAGCTAAATACTTCGTCACCGTGCTTTTGTTTCGAGCGTGCTACACAACCAGGCACCGACAGACAGCCTGTTTCGGTTCTATTAGACCGCAGCAGTGCCGGATAGCCGTGGTGTGTAAGCACATTTGTAGCACGCAGCCAAGTGCCTTATATAGGCAAACAGGTACGGATACAGCGGTGAGATAATCAGCCACCGTATACTGTCAAAACAGACGTGGCTCACAGTGAGTTACTTATTTAAATTGTGTTAATGCAATGTCACGTAAATGTCACCCTATTGGGTTGTTTACCACGTTTAATATTAATATTATTATTTTTACGATTTTTATAATTTTTGCAAAAATGGCGAATGAGCCGCTCACTATGTGTGTTGCGGAACTGTGCTGCCTACACGTCATAGCGGGAGTAAAAAATTATAATCTACTACACCCGATAAGACTTGGTTAGTCAAAACCCATACCTAAAACCCCGGCCCATTCGCCATTTTTGCAAAAATTATAAAAATCGTAAAAATAATAATATTAATATTAAACGTGGTAAAAAACCCAATAGGGTGACATTTACGTGACATTGCATTAACACAATTTAAATAAGTAACTATTTATCATTTTTCAGCGAAGCGTTTTTTATTGGTATGTAATATTGTTTTATTGAATGTCAAATACATAAATGGCCTTTCGAATTCGCCTTGGAAATGTGAAACCCTTTAAGTATAATTATAGGAAGTTTTCATTGGGAAAAATAAAAAAGATGCAACAAAAAATATTCAATAGTTTATTTGTGATGCAACCTAACTGATCAACCTCTGTGACGTAGGTATATGAATGGAATCTGGTCTAAAAAATTAATAGATTTCCCTTAAAGTTACATGTAATATAAAACATCTTTTATTGACTAGAAAAATGTAAAAAATTAACAATGAAACTTAAAAATACCAAAATCAACATTACAGTTACAAAAAAATACAATAAATAAATACAATAAATGTATTAATACTTGTTTTGCATAAAAACGCTGTTTGGTTCAAAAATATTTCCTATGAAAAAGTTAATTTAAAGAAGACCTTGAGTAAATCTCCTTTATATATAAATTAATCAATAATACACAACTTGTGAGCATCACATTCATTTGATATTAAGTATATTATTAATAAATACTTGAATTAGTATATGTTTATGTATATTGATACAATATTATATCTACTATATGTATTACAAAAATGAACTAAAACAAACCATTGATGTTTTAGTTCAAAATGTAAAACCTACCACAAAATTTATGTATGTATGTATGTATGTATGTACCAATATAGAAAAGCTACCCTAAACACTATTAAGAATGTATATTATTGTATGTATCATGTAATACATACAATCCAAATAATTATTGGATTGCATTTTTATGAAAAGGGTTCAGATGAAAGACAAAATGTTAGCTATATGGCTAATCCAACACGTTTGGTCAAAATTTACCCTCCACTGGGCGATGATATTTTCCTGCGATTGTATAAAACATCAGTCTTTAATTTATTAAATTTATAGATCATTTATTTGATTTATTGTATTGTCCCAATCATCAAGAAAAAAATCATTGTATGTATACATATTATGAAAAATGCCCAGTAGATTTGATAATAAAGCACTAGAAGAAACATACAGAAAATATACATAACAGTACAGATTAGTACCAAAGTGTATGGTACATGTCTGCATAAATGAAGGTACATGTAAAGCGAGGTGATTGCAAAATGAGGTACACAAATTGTATGAATAGTAAGTAAAGAGTTTTCCAATACGATTTTCAGAATTTTTTGGTGATATTGTTTTTGCTTCATTCTACAAAACAAACTTAAAATAGTTTTTACCAAGGTGGTCGTTTGTTATAAGAAGTGCAATTTTATCAAGATTTAATAGCAACATCTGGAAACTCTTATTGGAGCACTCTGTTCCTAGATATATGTAGATAGACAATGAGAAATGGCTTAACACTTAGACACATAAAAGTTCCACATTATTTGTCTATATTTCACAACCATGGCATTGTAATATGAGTATTTTGCATTTATAGCATCTAACGGAATACATTTTGAACTTTTATGCTTTTCTATAACACCTATTATTTTGAGTATTATACCTAAAATAGAATCAAAAAGTTACATTTTTGACTACCGCATTAATATCTAGGTTATCATAATTATTGTTTTAACCGTTTACACTGATATTGGTTATAATGAACTTACTTACTTATGATGATTGAGGTAAATACGATACAAGCGACGATTGGTCAATGCTACAAAATTTAAGAACAAAGAATATCAAGGAAAGGTTCTGCCTAAAGTCTAAAATAATTTAAAAAATACGTATCTCGTTAGATATGTGATTATTATTACTTAATTTTTACTCAATACAAACGATATGTAAATTTGTGTTTTCGATTAATGCTACAATACAAATTGAGATATAATAAAATATAAAAATAGTGTCTAAGGACGCCATTGCTTGTGGATGATATTTATGCGTTTAAATTATATAAAAATATCATTATTAGTAAATATTCATGGAGGTAAAATGATGTGTGCGTGTTATACAAGAAATGAATGAACTTTGGTATGATAGGACCAAGTCATCTTAGCTCTTATAACATTTCTGATCTCTGGTCCGTTTTAATCATTGGTACAACGATCTGGCCAGTCAGGCCAAAACCATTTACGATGAATAGTGATAAAGCTCTCCAGTTGCCCTGTTTATTTTCGTATAAATCGGTTCGTTGATAACGAATCCCGTTTTGGGATGCAGCCTTTTGATGTACGGGTTTTGACTGACGTTCGTGTTGTTCATCGGGTTCGAAATCAAGTTGACGCCGTTATGGTGTGTCGGTATGGTCGAGTGTTGCCTTGGGTACATAACATTGCAACTGTTTCCATTACCAAGCTTACTATTAGAGTTTTGCACATTGTTGTGCGGCAGTGGCATCGTCGAGCAGTGCGGGTATACGTTTTGCACCGGTTGCGTCGGGTAATGCGGCAACGTGGCAGACGACGATTGCATGTTTTGCAGATCGTTGCTGACGTCGGTAAACGAGGTCATTCGCATGTTGGTTGCCCTACCGTACGGGTCTTCGTTCAGAATTACACTGCTCACGCCTTCGTTCGGGTTTATTCGCGTGGATTTTCGACGAATCACAACAGTGCTTTCGGGGGCATCGAGAAGGCTCTCAGTCATGCTGTGATCCACGAGGGGGCTCATGTGACTCGCTGGAAGGTCCTCTTGCTGTGGGGACTTCCATTCACCTTAAGGAAGTATTTTAGTTATTGACGCAAATTTGTCTATGTAAGATTGTTTTAATTTTAAAATAAGATGTATTAGTCCGTGAGTTAAAGCTTTTTTAAAATTTCGAAAATTAATGATGAACTGGGATTTTTTTGTGCAGGTTGGTTATTAATTTTGAATTTAATGGTACACCATGTTCGGGGCCAAATGGTAAATCTTTATATCAATCGTGCAAATTTGGACAATATTTCAAATTAACTTTCAAAATATTCTTGACTCGACCCGATTCATCATATAAGTACGTTAAAAACATCAGTTTTCGTAATTTTCAACCCATTCAAAATATTGAGACATAGCCCACCCATAAAGGTTATTAACATCATTTTATTTCAGGATTAATAATATTTTAAATATAAATTTAATAATAGCCATAAACCTTAAAAATTTTAACTTTAGATAGGATTTTAAAACAAATAAATAACACTTTTTATTTGTTTTTGTGTTTACCTGCTAATTTTTCTGCTGTCTTGTGCTCTGCGCTTTCATTGGAGTGTATTCCACTGGATGTTTCGCTATGATTGCTTCCGGGTAGGTCTGGAGGAGAGTTGGAGCTTTCTGTGCTTACAGAATCTGAACGTATGGGTTCCTCATGGGGTATACCAGAATCCGTTCTGCGTAAGCATTTTGGAGCTGGTCCGGTAGTCTTTAAAATAAATATCATGGTATATTGAAACATTATTATGTTTTGCAGATAAATACATTTACTGTTACTTTAATAAAATGAAGTGCGTATTTTATGATATTACTAACCTGGGTGTCATAATTGTGCACAGTGATAACAGATGGTTCGAATTCGATTAAGGGACTAGTATCTTCATATGATGCAGTTGGCGGCTCTAAGTCTCTCGCACTAGCGTAAGTTACGTGTTCGTCATGAACATAAGCCAAAAGCTGAACAAGCATAAATGCAAAATTTTATGAATATGAATTTGATTTTTTATTGTTCATACCTTTCCTTCTTCACTTGCAGTGTCTTCGCTATTGCTCATACGTTTTTGATAAGATGAAGATTGTGGTGGGACTAAAGGTAGCTCTCTAAGAGTTGCATAATCGCCGTCATCTAACTCTTCGATTGCGCCAATTACGCTACGTCTTTTAATGCTGGCTCCTTTTCTATTTTTAATTTTGTAAATGAAATAATGAGGTTATTTTCGAACCAGTTTTTTAGGGTTTATCTGCCGAAATATTAGATTAAGTAAGATTCAGAATTTAATTGGTTAAAGCTAAGTTTAAGTTTAGTAAATATATTTTATAGATTATATGAATTTTTTTACTTTTCACGAACAGATCCAAAATATTTAAAAAATATTTTTTTATAAATTAAATGAATTTTCTCCAAAGTAATGCAAAATTTTACAAAATTATATAATTCCAATTGATACGAAATAGTTTATGATTTTTAATAGATTATCTAATAATAAGTTTAATAAGTAAAATATATTTTTTTTTATAAATTAATATTTTATAAAATAAGACTTTATATTAAAATAATTCCCTATTCTATTTTTTCAGCAGATTTCTCCCTAGGTACCTCACAGTGTACCCCAGTATGGTGCAGGTCAAATAAGAATGACCCAAAAATTTCATATTAAGATAGATAAATGAAAAACAAGTGAAAAACTGTTGCAGCAGATTCTACACAACTCATTTTGATAATTTTTAAAAGACAAGTAATATGAAGGAAACAAACAGAATGTGATTAGACTTTATTTCATTTTCACAATTTTTAAATACATAAAATACCAGATTCTATGCATAAATAAGCAATATTGTTTATTATTAAATACCTAAGGTTTATCTTATGCGATTAAATTATAATTTACAAAAAGGATTTGACAAAAACTCTGTAACCGCCTTTAAAAGAGAAGTTGCGTATCGAGGATTTAACTTATGAGTAGACATTTCCCAAATGAGCCTACGATTTATGACGTTAAAAGAAAAATTAAAACTGAGTATTATAAAATAATGTAATGTAATCATTAAAATCAAGTCACGTTATACACAATTTTGGTAAAAATTCGTTTGTTTTTTAACAATGTACGTACGATTTGTCATTGTTGTTAATTCATAATTTTTTTAATAAACAAACAAAAAGAAAAAAATTAGTATTGGAAAGTCTGAAGGATTTAGGTTCAGAAACCGTTTTAAATTTTGGTGCTCTTCCTTTGGGTAAATGGATCAGCAGCGGTTTATAAAGTTTATAAATTTGTATATCATTGTATAGTTTATTATAAATTCTTCAAAATACTTATTTATACTTTTGGTTCTAAAAAACTAAGATCCCAGGGTATTAATTATAATCATTTACGTGTTTTAGTGCTTAAACCAGTTTATTTTAGCCGCTACTGATTCAATTAAATTAATTTTTTACAGAATAAAGGTTGTTAGTTTAAAATTTTATGAAGATAAATTGAATAGTTTACAAAATAAAGTAATTTGAATTCTACTTTTATAAATAATAAAAATAATATAAATAATAAAAAGGGAAAAATCAGCGTCGATTTTATTTTAAATAAAATTGCAATAGCCTCCACTGCAGAAATCCAAAGAGTTTTTGTCTCGTCAAATTATTTTACCCTATATTGTACTGGGGAACACTGTGCCCTGAAGTGACAACTATAAGGAGCATGCTGGTGATATAAAAATAAAAAAATATAAAATAAAAAATAGTGTTTATTAAAAAATAATTAAATTATAAACTAAATACTAAAAATTAATTGCCACAGTTTGTACATATTTAAATAATTATTTACTACTACATAATGTGCATTTGCGGACTAGAAATTATAAAAATTAAATATCTTACAAGGTGTATGACTAGTTTCTACCAAAAACAACACACATGCCAAAGCGGTAAATAATAAATATTAATAGTATATTTCGATTTTATTCACAATTATTGTATTAAAAGATAACAATTTTTACATTTTATTTGTTTAAATCCTTTAAAGAGTAACCCAGATAGCCAAGTATCAAACTCAATTTTTGCCAATTATTATTAAACTCTTGCTATATCTTTATTTGGCCATTTGTAGAAATATGATACAAGCCGTAAATTGAGATTTGCTTAATATTAACATTATTTTGTAGTATTTAACGTTGGATTATAATCCAATAATAATTATTAATTCATTATTCTGTATACCTAAGTACTGTTATTATTGCAAGTACGCATAAAGTATAATTAACATAACTTTATGCATATTCGCATATAATCAACATTTAAAAAACATACATTTTATACTTAAAAATGGTAGTTCCATCAGTATTCATTAACTTTTTAACGGTTCATAGAAACTTAGTTCACATATCCCAATCATAAAATAATTTTTGCGTTGTTATCAAATATAATAATATTGTGGCGTTTTAGTCACAGGCTGAAGTTGGAAACAGGTTTTTAGTCCAGGGATAAAGTTAGTTGACAGTGCCATTCTTGTAAAATAATACTAAATGTAAACATTATTTTATTATCTCAATACCAAAATACAAAAGTATTAAATAGTTTCTCTACGCAAATATTTAAAAAGTTTATATGAACATTCTACTGACCTTTTAATTTCGCCTGCAGTAAACTAGATTTAACTTAATTTTTGGTGAAGACTCCACCGTGGAGTGCCCATAAAACATTTTTTATACTTTCACTGTGAAAAAAACTTTATTATGTGTACGCAACTACGTGGAGAATAAATCAATTGCATATCTCAATTTTTAATTTTTTTTTGGCTATTTGGAAACTTTCTATATGATCGTGAATATAAATAATTTATACATTGGAACTAAAAATAATTATAAACTCAAAGTCCTAAAAAACTTTTAATATGATTTGATATTTTTAAGGGAGTTTTAGATTATTTTGAGTGATTTTTAAGACTTTAAGGGACTTATGAGATCTAATTTTGGAAAAGCCTAATCCCGAGTAAGGGATTATCTTTCATCATTGTAAGCTTTTAATGCCTTGTGATAAAATAAAAGTTTTGTCGTCTAATAAATAAAAACACTCTACAAAAACACACATTCAAACAAAAACCAATGATTACCGGTTAGCCGAAGCGGTGTCATCGTTAAAGGTGACCTTATGCTTCTGCTTTTTCTTGGTCCAGCAAAAATACTTGTGCCCATCGGGAGAGCACATCTGAGGGGCTAGCGCCGGTCTGAGCCAATATATCTGTTCCTCGCCGTCGTCGTCGGTATTAGAGTTGGCCGTGATCGATCCGTTGCTCTGCGATTTTTTTGCTATAGTAGTTTTTTGTATCACGGACATTATGGCCCTTTTCGGGGAGTTATCAATTACACTGTACGTGCGTCCGTTGCCCACCACTAGAAGAGGTTGCTGCGATAGGTCCTCGCATTGTTGGGAGGCCAGGTGCACATCAGTCACGAGTTTTAATGAACGTGATTCCCTTACGGTTGCTCTAGCGATCTGTAAATAATCAGTAAGTAACAATTATATATATATATAATATATATATAATATAATAATATATATATATATATATATATATATATATATATATATATATATATAGCATTTAATGCCAAATCCAATTTAATAATATTACCGTGATTCTCAACTTGAAGGTCCACTTGTGCTTGATGGTCAGAAACAGCCAGATCACGATCCAGAAGAAGAGATGTAGAATTCCGGCGATGATGCATATCAATGTTATGTCGTCCAGACTGCCCCTGTACACTACAGTGTAGTCGTGTAGCAGGGGGGCATTACAGATGCCAATCGAAATAAGGACGCACAAAGCGGCGCAGTGAGTGAAGTAGCCCCACCTGTTGCCCCCTTCGCCTTTTAAGCTGATTATTTTGCGTTCGCGTTCTTGGTCCAAAAATGCATGAAATCTGACAAAACAATATTCTATGAATTTTAAAACAATTCGGTAGTTAAAAAATATATATGAATGCCATGAATTAGTAAATTATAGACCAGGAGGATAAAGCACATATTATAGTCAAACATACAGAACAGTAGATTGTGTGCGATGCAATTAATGAGCTTTCGCCGCCGTGTTTTATATACCTACTAAGCATTTAATTAAATAATTTTTAAAAATCCTCTCACATCATTTATGGGTTAGGTTCAACGGACATGATGACACTTTAGCTTTATTTCTGTACGTTTGATAATAATTTGACTTTTGAACTAGTTTTTATATGAAGTCTTTCTATATACCGATCCTTCACTTAAAAGCTATATATAGGGAAAATACATTGTAAAGTGGACCAGATAAGACGCATTCAGTTCTAATAGAAAATGTTCGCAAAAAATATTTGGAAGAGTTATGACGGTTTTTGGTTTTGGCGCGGCGTTTGATAATAATTTGACTTTTGAACTAGTTTTTATATGAAGTCTTTCTATATACCGATCCTTCACTTAAAAGCTATATATAGGGAAAATACATTGTAAAGTGGACCAGATAAGACGCATTCAGTTCTAATAGAAAATGTTCGCAAAAAATATTTGGAAGAGTTATGACGGTTTTTGGTTTTGACAGGTTTTCAGTTTTTATAAAAAAAATTTAAGAACCGCAAATTTTTTTTACAATTTTTAAATAACATTTTAATAGACTTGTAATTACGAAATTATTCTCTAATTTAAGCGACCTTGTAGCTCTTCAAATAAAAAAGATACCGGGTATCTGATACCCATCACAGAAGTACTATACTTGGTGCACCCTGTATATATACTGCCCTGGTAAGCCAAACCCCCGTATGTACAATATTATGTTATTGCTTACAAAAGATCATTTTTATTGTTAAAAACAATGAAAGTTATCTTTTGTCCTTTAATACTTGCCCGGCAGTATACAGGGTGACAATTTTAAAACGAACAGCAATTAGTATTTCTTTAACTGATGACACTATGAAAATTTAGCGAAACACGTCAATTTACATATTTATTTCTAAATAAGTTAAATTTTTTTTTGCCAAAATTGAAGTGGTTATAACCTCACAAATGTATGGAATGTATTTAGTCTATAAATTAAAATACTGCTAGTTTTAATGGGGTTCCGCCGTAAAAGTGATAATTAAGATAGTATAATTACTTTTCTAATTGTTTAAAATGGTTGCCATTGTTTTGTAAGCACAAGTATAGCCGATATTCAAACTGTTCGCGGACGTTTTGAAGTGTCTCTGGTAAAATAGCCCTCCATTCTTACACAATCCTTTGTTGAAGTTGTTCAATTGAGTCCGGTTGGGTTTTGAATACAATGTATTTCAAATGACCCCATAGAAAGAAATCGAGCGGTGTCAGATCTGGTGACCTAGGTGGCCATTCAATGGGTCCCCCCCTATCAATCCATTGATCCCGATAATGATTATCCAACCACTCTCTTAGTGGACGTACATAATGAGGAGGTGCTCCGTCCTGCTGAAAGTGTAGCAAATGCTCTTCAAAAACAAGATTTCCATCGACGTCTCTTTGATTTTCCACCTCATGAATTATACGAGGCTCAATTCTTCTGTCTAACATTTCCGCATACATTTCACCATTTAAATTTCCATAGATAGTATCGCCCAATATGCCCGCCCAAACATTTATTTTTTGAGGATATTGTGTATGCCCCTCTCTAATAATGTGAGGATTGAAGTTGCTCCAATAACGGCAGTTTTGTTTGTTCACCTTGCCATTTAAGTGGAAGGTGCACTCATCACTGAAACAGATATTTTTTATAAACTGTGGATGAGCAATAATCCTGTTAGTCATAATTTCGCAAAACTCAATACGTCTGTCCGGGTCATCATCTCCTAATTCTTGAGTAATTTGTAGCTTGTATGGGTTTGTGAAACTTCAATACTTTTCTGACTGATTCACGCGACAGTCCCGTTTGTTCTGCAGCTTGACGAAGCGATACCGTGGGAGCCATGGAAATTTGGCCAATCTGAGCGATCTCATTGACCAATCTTGGCTCATTCCTCTTCTTATTGCAAACAGATCCAGATTCTTCAAATACTACTAAATCTCGGATGTACTTGTGTCTAACATTTCTTTCTGAATGTCGATCATTAAATATGACCGCCGTTTTACGAAGAAACGGGTTTTCGCTCCATAAATTAAATAAAAATCATTTCAACGCGTTCTGCAATATTGGGAACCATTTTAAGAAAAGGATGCAAAAAACACCCAACTATTTTTACTAATCAATTCGGCAAATCAAATTAATAAATTTACACCGGGCGTACGAAAATACGAACTGCACTTATCACTTCTAAATTATATCAGATATAACAAAATGAAAAGAAATGAACAAAAAATTTGTTTTTAATAAAAATATGTAAATTAAGGGAAGGATTTTAAACGTAGTTTCACACTAAATATTAAAATGAATGGCTGAGACGGCACAGCAAACGCAATACATTCCATACATTCGTGAGGTAGTCCACTTCAATTTTGGTAAAAATAAATTAAAAAGAAATGTAACTTATCTAGAATTACAAGGATTTCAAAAAGGGCGAAATAAATAGGGGTTGTTATTTAAAATTTTAGCGGTAGGGGCTCTGGAGGTCATGGGGTTAAATGTAATACAACAACAAATACCTCAACAGCTGTCCCCCTTGATATTTTTTTTTTTTGTATATGTAAATTGACGTTTTTATATGTTTTATATGTATTATATTAAATTATAGTATGTTTTATTGTTATTAATATTATTATGGTTTTTTGTCTTGTTTACGATAAGGAATTAAATATAAAAAAATCAAGTATTTTGTTAAATTAAATAATAAAAGAATTTTGGTTAAAAATACAAAAAATTTCCTTTTATTAGAATCTTAAACATATTCTTTACTTAACAGAATATATGCGAAATTACTTTTCTTCGTAATACCTACACATTTATTAAAGGAATAAAAAATATGTAAATTTTTTTAAAGCACTTCTCATATTTCTCTTCTAAAGCGTTTGAAATAAAAAACGAGCTCTCGAATTTTGTATGTCTATATTTTTATTCCAAATGCCTTTGTATGCAAATTTAAGTGGATTATCGGCAGGTGGCAAAAAGGGCCGATCCCAGGGGAACACAAACTTGTCAAAGCAGGGATTTCTTTCATTCAATTATGCGGCCCCAAAGTTTGTGCGTTACCAATAACTGTTGATAAAGTTTGGTTAAGCTGTTTGTTTAGTTGGAGTTTGCTTGTTGAAAAGTTTTAATGCAATTTAAATACTAAAAACACAAGGCGTTCATTATTTAAGCACGCTTTTGGTTTGTGGTAATGGGAAGAGTTATTTAGTTTTTTTTATTATTCTTCTCTAGTTTAAAAACAAATTTAACGGGAACTTTACAATTCAAGGCACTTAAGGAGGTAATTTAAAATTCTTATAGAGTTTAATAAACATGGCATGGCAATTAAAATATAAATACATGAATTATTTTTTTTGTTTGTCACAGGGTGGCCAATAGGGATAGGGTAATTTAAGTGCTCTAATTTAAAAAATAACCATAATTTTGTTTAATTAGCTCTTGTTTTCAAGATACTTTGGAAACCCATTATGGAAATATTAAAATTCCTATATACATACATATATATTTTGTTAATTAAAAAGCTATAGCTATGGTTCCTTATTAAACTAAAAAAATAAATTATACACATTCAAGTTTTTCCTCTTAAAAATCATGAAATAAAATAGTTTCTCATCCATAATTGCATGCTCAATTTTTAAAATTTAAAGTGTTGTAACAAAAACAATTTGTGTCCGATTTAAATGAAATGTACAAAATTTTGATCTTTATCTTTCTACTATATTTTATGAATGTGTATAATTATTTTATTTTTATTTTAATTGAACCAATGGTAATTTTTGAGAAAAAACTACATATTATTTTTTACTAAGAATCCCCTGTTATATTTTATTCCAACATTTACGGGACACCTTATCTATTGTTAAAAATGACAATTTTAAAAATCTTATCTATAAAAAAAAGTTTGGCTGGCGACAATCGCAAGTTAAAATTCGCGTTCGGGAACGTCCCTACTCAGCTATAGCAAAAAAGCCCGTCCTGTTTGAAATTCTTGTTGGGTGCACTTACCTCGTGTGACCGTAGAAATAGAGCACAATGCTCGACGACAGGACCAAAAGGGTCGACAGCATGTACATGCCGAATGTGACCTGCGAGTTGAGCAGGAACGGCGTGGGACTGCCGAACGTGTACACGCTCCTCGCGTTGTGCTTCAATAGCGGCAGCGATTTCCAAACGCCAGCGATGTGCACCTGCAATACAAAAGAAACGCTGTGTAGTAGATTCCCTTTTGAAGGAGGAGATTCTAAGCTTACTGTGTGCTTCACTGGCAAGCCGATGTATCGATACGCGTTAACGCTCGGCTTAAAAAAGGCTTTTAACATGAAAAGTGGCCTTTAATGTTTTGCTTTTCCTTTATTTGCTTTGTTAAAGAGCACTACAAAGCATTCATGGAATATTTTTAATGTACATACAGGGTGTCTCAGATTAATCCGGAAAATTTAATAGTCAATAAAACTTTATTATTTATTATTATAAAGAAAAGTTTATATGAACTTGTATGTTTTAAAGCTTGGTTTTCGAGATCCATGGTGTTAAAGTTAATAAAAAAAGTAAGGTCACGCCAATGTTTTTTGTTGCTTAAATTTCAAGAAATCAAGTATATTCGCTTATCTACTCCTATTGCATAATATTTTTTTTTAGTGAATAATGATAAACATTATAAATTTCCTCGCATTATCTTTCGTATATACTTTATACTATTATGCGCTCATGACCATTATTTTTTCCGGGTCGAGCAAATAATAGTATATTATGTATCTAGTTTTAAAAACGCCATTTAAGACAAGAATTTAATTAAATTTGTGCCTAGAAAAGTTTAAAAACGAGTTGCATACTATACTTTTTCTGCGACAAATATTATAAAAAATGATTAATTCAAATATTGGTATAGAGCGAAATCTACAAAAATAGATTAAACAAATTAATGTTACGAATCTGTTTTACCGGCATTTAAAATGGCAGAGCTAGTTTGACAAATTGTCTGTAAAAATCGAAATTTCTCCCTACTATACTTTTATAATTTAGGATAAGGACCTATTTTAATTTAGAAAACCCAAATATATTCGACTAAGTATACTTAGTCGAATAAATTTGGGTTTTCTAAATTAAAATATGTAAAATAGTATACTAAAGTAAGAAAATTAAAGAAAACAATTTCCCATAGGTCTCACAAAACATTTATTTATTTATCTTTGATCTTCTGAAACCTGTAATTAAAACTTATATTTCGCTATAAAAGCTCTTTGTGACATGCGATGTAAAGGAAATAATTCACTCGGAATACTGAGGAAAAACATTTCACGCTTCTCGCATTATTTTCTAATATACTCGTACAAAGCCTTTTAGTGAAGTTTCGGCAACTTTTTCGTATCCGAAAAAATTTAGCTAAAATGTTTTCTTACCTTATACAGAATGGACATTCCAGCGAAGGAGATCAGGGTGTGTAGGCCGTTTATCAATAGTTGAAACGAGAATATGATGCCGAGGCATTTGTTTGTCGACCAAAATAGAGCCGGATATCTAACAGAATAGATAACTAATGCTATGGCCAAATTCAAGTATTCCACGCTCACTGAGTTTACCCAGCCGGAATCTGGAAAATAAATAGGATAATAAATACACTGCCAAGTAAAGCGTGTATAAACGCAGTACGTTGTTGAAGATAACACAAAAAGTGTACATGGTCTTAACTTAAATTTATTGAGTTAATGCATTAAGCTCATGAACTTCTAAACAACATTTTTTGGAATTTTAAAAAGGTAATTTAAATTTTTTTCAAATTTATTTAAATTTCTTCACTATATTTCTTCGATTTTGTAATGAAGTTTAAGTAATTTTTACCTAAGTTATCCCTCATAACATTGTTAATAAAATATTGGTGTTTGTATTAAAATGTCATAATAAAGTTGTGACACCCTGTATAAACAAATATATGTTACGATATTTATTTAAAGTAACGCAATGTTTAATTGTTTATTCAATCAACGCCCATTTCCTTTTTTAACTTTAACCGGTGGGCGAAATTTTACTTTTCCCACTAATGGGCGAAATAGCATTTCGTCCACGGGCTGAAGTTAGGTTTAAGTTAAATTTGATAAAAAGTGAGGTTAAAACTACTTGACAGCTGTCAGATGTCAATGTTGAAATAAAATTGGCTTTAAACTCATTGTGGTTGTTGAATAAAATATTATGTGCAATATTATTAGTCGCACATAGTATTTCATCCAATAATTATGTAGTTTTTTTCTTGGGTAAGTAAATAACAACTACTCATTCGATGAGTCTCATCGAATTATTTGTTGTATAGACTTTAGAGGAGCAACACGTTTAGTTTAATTTATCGAATTGGAATTTTATTAATGTGGAATTAATTTAATAATTAGGCGTTTTTAATTCTTATTTTAAGATGATTAAGAAATAATAGAGACATTTAAACCTTTTTTCTGAACAATTCCCCTTTTACTTAACCATAATGGTTTTAGGATGTAGGTATCCCTTATTCTAATTTATCTATCTATACATTGTTATAGGAATTTACACAAAGTTTGATTTTTTTAATTCTTCGACTATTTTTTTTTGATTTTGTAAACTAGATAATGCATTTTTTATTTCAGTTAACCCTCACTACATCTTTGATGATCGTTTTTCTGTTTTTTTTATTTAAATTTTGAAATGCTTTTCACGAGTTTAATAAGTATTAATATAATCTAGACTATAAAATTTTCAGGCAGTTGCGAAGCATCAACTATAGTTATAACATTTTATTTTGCCATCCTGGGCCCCCGACAGTCTTAGTCCGCCACCGCCTTGAATATATTTTTAATAAAGAAAACAAACATACTTACCTATACATTTAAGAGTTAAATTTAAATTTTAATCGCATATTGTAAAAAACGATCAATGTTATAAAAAATTGCCAACCATTTTTTTTAAGAAAATTAAATAATCTTTATTCTGATAAAAACGTTTTGTCAATTTATAAATAAAATCAAAAATTTTAAGTGAATAATATATTCATTAAAAATCAAATAAAAAAAACTAAACGTGGTATTTTATTTTGCTCTTTAATTTTAGTTACATCATATAAATAAAATATCACAAAAAAAAGTTTCACTGAAAGACATTAATTTTATAAGTATATTAATTTAGTTTTATAGCATGGATTTTTGATCTTGTTTTGGTTAATTTCCGCTAAATTCCTTTGTTTCTATAATTCCTTTTTATTAATAATATTTTAAAATCTCAGTAACTTCGCCTGATATTTTAATACCAGCCGGTCCCAAGCCCGGATAAAGAAGGAGGGCGGAAACTTAAATATATAAGAATCACTTGTATTTTAAAAAGCATCTTCAGTTATTTAGAATTACGCAGACCTGGGCAAAAAAATCGTATATTTGGAAACGAGAATAAATTCTTATGTCAAATTTAAAACTAAAATTCCCCACCGAGAGTTTGTGCAGAACATTCTGTGAGTGCAAGTAAGATTACGCTGAATTAATTAAATAAATTTTGAAGTTTGCCAAATTACGTGAAACATAACGATAACAGTCAAAACACTTGGTAAATTTTGGATTGTGTGTGTTGGCATGAATTCAAAACTCATCTAGAATTAGCTGTGAGGACTTTAACATGTCCTTAGTGTCACTTAAAAGTTTGCACGTCTTAGAGCTTCCGTCGACGAAATTTTTCAAGCTCTTAGGAATATCGATTTGCCGGAGATGGTAACGACGTCGCCTCGCAACATTTGTTGGAAGCTTTTTAAGTGCGTCTCGTTTATAATCGAGACCGCGAGTGCCTTGAAATTCCTGATGAAAGTTGTTTTGCCGTAAATACCGCCTTTTGATGGAATCAATGGGATTTTCTTTTCTTTGTGCCATTTATAATTCGGATCACGTTTTTGTTTCATGTCGGGTCGATAAAGGAAAAAACTGTTTTTGTTTTGAATTTGATGGTTAACTAGCTATGTAAACAAATCTAGGAAGTCAATTAAATTACTCCCAAGCGTATAATTAAAATTTCCCAAAGGAAACGTTACACGCACTGCATGCGATATAAATTTGACTTACCAATACTTTTATCATAAATCGTGGTGTGATTGTCGTGCCCAATGTAATCCTTCAAAGTCTTCATTACCGTGGTAGTGACTTGCGACTCGCTGTTAAACTGCAAGGCTGAAGTCCTAGGATTTATCAAGTCCATTTTGTGCGTGGCATTGGAGGGCATGAAACTCAGAACCACCAAACGATCCCTGTGCCGAATCATAAAGTCCAGATCGGTGTGCCAGATCCAGTCTTGCGACAGAAAGCCGGACTCGATCAGTCTCGCCTCCATCAGCAGTTTTGGCACCAGCAGGCAGAAGGAGATCGCGATGTGGATGAAGGGGGCGGTCGGGCCGCCGTAGCGGAAGAGGCCGCAGCCCGATTTCGCAGTGTCCTCCGTTTCCGTGTCTTTGCTGCAAGTGCTGATCTGGCGACCCAGTTTAAAGCCGTCGTTTGCTAGATTACCGATCTGGAAGTATAAGTTAGGTTAAATGCAAAAATAAAACATAAATAAAACATTTTAACTACACGGAAAAAAATGTATGTTAAAAAACGCATATTAAAATTTATTTAAAAGAAAGTAAAATAAACTATTATATAAATTAAAATACTGGATGTTAATAAGTAAATAAAAATATTATAATCGTCTTATGATTGAAGTTATGATGTTGATTAAATAGTATTATATCATTTATTAATTTTACACTTTTAACTTAATATTTTATACAAATTAAGTAATATGTTAAAGCGGTTTAATATAAAATATTATTATATTTACATTATATTTTCACCCATAATATAACAACTGGTATGATTATCATCGATGATATTTTCCAATTAAAACTGAGATGCAGATTTCACGAGTCCGCAACGAGTGAAATGTGCTGCTTCGGTTTCAATGAGTAAATATTATAGATTATTAATCATACCACGAGTTATATTTAGTGAGAAAATATAATTAATTTTAGGATTTAACGAATTGTCATTTGAAATTAAAATGTGCTTTAAAATATAAAAAGACTTTAATAAACCTTATTTATTCAAACTTATCTTAATTTTATTATCGTTTACACCAACCCATCGATCTTTTAGAATTTATAATTCATTATTTTAATCATATAACAAATACAGGATTTAAATGTCCACAAATGACAAATCAAGAAAAGTGTCAAAATCCTTAGTAAACAAGGTGATAAAAAATATTGTCGCTGTGATAAAATGCGTAACTATGGAATACCGGCATTTTATTGGTTCTAATTATAATTATAATTATTGGTTCTAATTATAATTATAATGAATTGTATTGTCATATTAAAATTTATTATAAGATTTAGCTGTCACTATATTTAACGTAAAATGTAATAAATAGTCGAGTAAATAGTATTATATTTCTAATATCATTTATTATATTTTTATATCCGTGTAGGATTTATTATTTATAATTGCAATTAATTTAAAAAATAACAATAAATATCGATAATCATCATAATACTTAAATTACTAGAAGCCTTAATATCTAATACAAATTATTAATCCCGACGCATTCGCCATTTTTGTAACGCATCCAACAATTTATAAAAAGTCCATCTTGACGATCGCTTCTTTAATAAACTTGAATTTGCATATCTTCGATCAGATAACTACCGCCAGACATCTACAGTGTAGGTATTACATAATATTTAGTCGCTAGGCGGTAATTTTCTATTATTCCTACCTTTAATATTGCGACGGCAAGGAACACAGGCAGCAGCAAAAAGGCAGCGCCAGTCAACCCAAGACTGCAATTTAGTTCGAGAAAAGGTAAACCTTCAGGCCATCCCAGAAGAGAATATCCTGCAACAAAATATTAATTTGAAACACATTAAAAAATTAATAATTATGTTGGGTACAGGAGTGTCAATCCCGGGACAAAAAAACTAATCCCGGGATCCCGGGATTAGTCCCGAAAAAATATAAATCTTTTTAATTTTTAAAACCAATTTAAAATAAACGAACAAACAACATCTTTTAGACTTTACACTATAGTTGTATATCCTATAGGAATGTTTTTCAATAATTCGTAGGCATGTTGTAGATTGTACTCTCTTTTACGCCCATTAACAAATAATTCCCTTTCCAATTGAGGCTGTAAGAAAATTTTGCCCCTCTGCTCGTATAATTTTCGCGATTTTCTATTCTATCAAAGTTTTTCCACTGTATGTTTACTTTTTGAGTCCTTTCCATTTTGTCGTTAGAATCCGTCGTATACGGCTATAGCCACCCGTTAAACGTTTTGGAACCATATTTTGAATTTTGATTGTATGGGGTATATCAAAAGTATGTGCTAAAGAAACGAATATTTATAAACATTTTATTTTAGGGCTAAATTGCCAACAATATTATTTCATCTGTTGTGCGCCATTATTTGGTAAATAATAAGTACAGTAGAAACCGTCAATATATGAACGTGACTCATCCGACACATTCGTACGAAGCAATCTATCGAAGGTCACGGTCCAGTGCGGTCTCGTTTGTAAAAAAATTTGAGTGTAATGTTGGTTGCTATACTTATGATATATTTGCTTTTAAAGTTAAATAATTAACATCTAACATAATTAACATCTACGATAATTAAATAAAATGTAATTTTTTTAGAAACTAATTAATAAATAAACTTTTCTTTTAACTTTAATCAAATATTCTATCATCTGATTACAGAACGTACACTCGTGGCGACATCTCTGATTTTAATAACAAATTTTTAGACCGACGCAACCTCCAATTAAATTCTTAGTATAGTCTGAAACACGTTTGGAATTGCATATTCCCCTCTCGTGAAACCGTCAAACTTGTTACAGAATATACTATTCTTTTAACTGTAAACGCAAATATTTCAGAATTGGTGACAAAAAACAAAAATGTTTACGCAGGTCAGGTACAAAGTGAAAGATATTTAAATTGTGTGGATATAAAAACAACTTGCGTTAGTTTCACGAAATTTATTAAATATTGACAATTGTTTCGCTACACAGTAGCTTCTTCAGAATGTATTAAACTAATACCAGTACAAAATTTATATGTATAATAAAAATATTTTTGTATTCTAGCCTAGAATTTCTAGGTAAGGATTTTTATACGACATCTACCTGTGTTACATAATATAAACCACTGCCACTACAACGTTTAAAACGATTATTAATCCGTAAACACACAGTAGAAACAAGATATGCAAAAACAAAGATCATATGACAAATAAAAACAAATGGCCGACGGTAAAGTTGGTTGCCTTACTATGTAATAAAATAAAATAAATTCCTAAAACACGAACTCTACTGACTTCCAATAAAATTAAGTAACAAGCTAGGACACAAGCGTCATATGTCCATCTTTGTCCAACACCTAGGCAGTTTTACATCACAGATGGCGCATTTTAGACCGGATGCTTAAAAACCTACGTGTGAGTACATTTACCGCTGCATCGAATGTACAAGACAAGTAAAACATTACTGCTAGCATGTCTGAGATATGTTCGGCACCCGATGAGTCACGTTCATATATTGACGGTTTCTACTGTATATTATGTATGTATGTATCAAGTTTAATAAACGCCATTATAGTCATGAATTTAATTTAGGTACGAGCAAGCCTGCGAGCGAGTGCTTAATTAAATGAGTGCCTAAAAAAGTTTATAAACGAGTTGTGTACTATACTTTTAGCCAAATTTGGCTAATACTTCTCATAAATACTCGTAGAAAAAAATAAGTAAACTTAAGGAAGTAACAAGAATATATTTAGACATGTTTTTGATGTGTCCTGTCCATGGGCTTGGAATGGCCGATATACAAAATACAAAGTAAATTATGATTAAAATTAATAAAATAGACAAGTGGATAAATTTAAATTTTTAATGGTTAACCATGGAATACCATGGTATCCCAAAATTTAACAACCATTTCCTATGTAAAATTGTCCCCTGAATCCGGAAATACCGTCAAAAATTATGAAAGTGGAGCAGCTTTTAAGATATAGTCAATTCCATATTAAATGGTAAATTGACTATATCTCAAAAACTGTTCTACTTTTTTAACTTTTGACGACATTTTCGGATTCAGGAGACATTACATAAGAATTAGCTGTTAAATTTTGGGATACCATGGTATTCCATGGTTAACCATGGTACAAGTAAAAAAGCAGCCACTAATAACTATTAAATTATTCATTTTTGACTAATTCAATTTTAGAGAGTAGTGTAACAAAAATTAATGTTAGTAAAATTCAAAAAATATAGTATGTATTTACTGTTTTCGGTTTAATTTTTTTTTACAATAATAAAATTAATAAATGTAAAAGTTGTTTTTGCCATTTTGTCAATTAATATTCATTGCACATTTTTACTCGACGATCCCAAATTAGGAAAAAGAAAAATTCATCGTTTTCAGTTAATACTCAAAACCTTTTTTAATTAAATTACTTAAATATTTTAAGTGTAACTTTGAGCAGTAGCAGATATTTAAATAAATAATTAGACCATTATACCGGCTAATCAATCAATGCAATAAAATTTCTAAAAGGTAATTTCCCGCTCCGTAGTAATTATCCACCATTATCTCATGAATTTTGCATGAACAATTTGCAAGAATAGCAAAAACCGAAATATTTCATTTTGATGTTAATTGGCGACTGTCCGCTTTTTATTCAGGATACGTACGGGTTATTTGCACTTTAACTGAATTTCACCCCCAGGAATAATAAACGTTAAACAAATAGTGGTACTAATATATGCATGAATAACGTAGGTATTTTGAAATGTAGAAATGTTTTACGTTATAATATAACGTAAAACATTTCTACATTTCAAAATACCTACGTTATTCATGCATATATTAGTACCACTATTTGTTTAACGTTTATTATTCCTGGGGGTGAAATTCAGTTAAAGTGCAAATAACCCGTACGTATCCTGAATAAAAAGCGGACAGTCGCCAATTAACATCAAAATTAAATATTTCGGTTTTTGCTATTCTTGCAAATTGTTCATGCAAAATTCATGAGATAATGGTGGATAATTACTACGGAGCGGGAAATTACCTTTTAGAAATTTTATTGCATTGATTGATTAGCCGGTATAATGGTCTAATTATTTATTTAAATATCTGCTACTGCTCAAAGTTACACTTAAAATATTTAAGTAATTTAATTAAAAAAGGTTTTGAGTATTAACTGAAAACGATGAATTTTTCTTTTTCCTAATTTGGGATCGTCGAGTAAAAATGTGCAATGAATATTAATTGACAAAATGGCAAAAACAACTTTTACATTTATTAATTTTATTATTGTAAAAAAAAATTAAACCGAAAACAGTAAATATTATTGATAATTCATTTGCACGTAAACTTGTTGCGTGACTATATATTTCCATAAACAACTATACTGGATGGTTGGAAGTTGTTAAAAACCAAACAAGGAAATTGAGATTTCAAAAAGATATTCGTGTGTAAAAATTATTAAAATAAATTACATTTACATACCCAAGTCTTTTGACGCTTTTTGTGCGTTTGGAAATATATATAGTATGTATTAAGGTTGTCCACAATTGTATGGAGAAAAAAAACATTGGTAGTTAATATATAAATAAAAACAACACTGTTTTAAAGTTTCAATATTTTATTTATGCTTTTATAAAAAATTAACAATTGTTTCGTTACACGGTATACCTAGCTATAGATCCTTCAGAATCAGTACAAATTTTTATGAAGTGGCGGTGTTTATCTAAGCTAATCCAGGTATTTGAAAAAATACGTTATCCCTAAAGCATTATAATTAATTAATAATTAATATTAATTAAACTTACACAATTTTGGAAAAACTATGGATTTGGAAAATACTATCTAATATAATTTTACAATATTAATAAATATTATTTTTAGTACTACAGGTTTACATACTAAAATAAATTTAGCAAAGGAGAGTTGTTGGTTTCAATTTGGTCATTAAGAACAATGTCCGATTTTTTCTTCAGTTAATTTATTTCCAAACACTCCAGAAGATTTAGTTTGGTGCCTTTATTGGCTACATGTAAGATTCTAAAGATATCGTCAAATTTATGGTTCTCTTGTATTAAATAGTTAGCATATGAAGAGTCCTGTTTAAGGATTATATAAGATTTCGTGTATTAAAGTTTCGTCCAGTTTGGCCTATATACGTTTTCAGACAGTCTCTGCAAGTTAGTTGGTAAACGCGGATTTTGTTGCTTTGTCTGTGTTGTTTTTTATAAACTTACTAAGGTTGTTCTTAGTTTTAAATGCAACATTACTCTTAATTTTATTAAAGAAATTATATAAATGTCTCATATTGGTACCTAGATATGTACAACTGTCGAAAAAATCAACAAATATTGGTGGTCATTTTTGTATGTGATTATTTAATATTTATTAATATTCGTCAACTTCTAAAAACCAGTACACAACAACACACTATAGACGGTAGACCTTGCTACATATTCCACGACACCCTGGTTCAGAGAATCCAATTCACACAAACCGACCTCGCCAGTTGGGAACAAATAAGCACCCTCAAAAACCTTATGCGGGAGGAGACGGAAAAACTGTATCAACTTCCGGAATCCGACCCGGAGTGCGACATGACGAACCGGAAGTAAACCAACAAAGATAGGTGTAAGCAAAGAACTAACCTACCTACCCCCATTCATGAATCCCAATTGAATGGGGTTATTACTAAGACCCAGGTTGAGGAGGATTCCGGATTGTACTTAGTTTTGGGTCAGTTCAATGTCCTCCAAAAACCACCACTAGCCCTCCTTATCCCGCACTCCTCTAGCCTAAATTGGACGTATGGCCCGACCCGGCTGACAAAAATCCGGGAGTGGCCTTAACCATAGACACTGTTATCCACGACCTCCTAGGGTGGATCTACCAGCCGGCGTAAAAACTTCGAATCCAACAAACACAGGTAATGCTGTGAATTGGCGGGATACGTAGGAGAACGGAAACGGGGTAAAATAACCCTGGGAGATTAGTGTAAGATAATGTCGATGGGGCCTGCCATACGTTCCCATACTCATACTCATACTCATATTCGTCAACTTCTAAAATAGAAGTAAGGGCTTTATGTATGATATTGGAATGAAGTTCTACTTGGTATTAGAGCTTTCTATAACGATATTCACCTCTTTGGTATTCTGAAAAGATATCCAAACAAGAATATCAGTAAAAAAACGTTACTAACCAAGGACGAAGAACAAATGCAGTGTTTTTTTTTGCTTAGCTGCAAATAATCGAAAACAGTTTTCTGAGCCTGAGCCTGAGTTTAGGTTTTAAATTTACTGGCGGTGGTAATATATTACTATTAATAGTAATACATTACTATTAATAGTAATAAATTAAAAAACAGCATTTTTACTGCTTCTCTAAAAATTATTAAATGTAGGGACGTCTAACCAATAGTGAAAACACTTTTAATACCTAAAAAGTATTTTCATTTTAAAATATATTGTACTTATTTTAACGGTAAAGATAAATATTTCCTTCGGGAAACATTCAGCTAATAAGGTAAAGTGCTCAGTACATGTTATACAGACTTTTTTGTGATATTTTATACTTTACAGTATACAATAAAGACTATAGTTGGAAAATTAAAAAGCTTTTATGTATTTTTTCGACTTACCTAAAGTTCTTTTAAGGCATTTAAAAGCAGCATAGGCTTGTAGGCCAGTTCCGAATAATCCGTACCATATGCTCCATAGATTATTTAAATGAATGCAGCCGCTTTTTTTCTTGCTACTCTGTTTTAAAGACTTGACAGAGTCCGAAGATTTGATGGATGAGGTCACGGTAGAATAAGTCTTGCAATCGGCAGTCATCGTTAATTCGTGTTGTTTTGCTTGGTGCTTCTTGTTGACGTCATTGTTATTTTCGTATTTGTTTTTTAAGATTGGGGTTGGCGTTTGGGGGATGGATAGCATCACCACTGAGGTAGATACTATGGCGGCGATAAAATTTCCGGTGCGGCCTGAAAGAAAAGATAAATTATCAATACACAGCATTTTCAATTACGAAAAGTAGCTATCTACTTATGCTTCCATTGTACAGAACTGATAAGAGGGGTTAATTTTGAGCTACATGTTCCTGGGTGCACATTAAAACGTGCTGAATGGAAACTGGGTTAAAGTTATATGACGGGAGGATTAAACATAGCTATCAAGTCGTTTTAACGTGCACGATACATTGTTCTTGCATACAATATAGAAACGATGATGTTGATAATGATTGCAATGGTTGATGGCTGAAAGCAGTAAAAGTGGAGTTAAACCCAGAAATGAACGACAATACATTATTTTCCTTTTGAAACAATGTAGCTGCTGACAGGGGAGTGTCTAAGTATTATGCGCAAAACGCTTGAAGATGTTTCTTTGTATTGAATTTTAAAAAGTTATTTTAATTTCTTTTATATCTATAGATCATCATTAGTTGATGTAATACGATACTCATATTTTATAACCTAATATGACTACAATAGCTTATCCGAAGAAACTCGTTAATGATGCAAAATCTTCAAAAAATATCGTGGCAAGATCGCTTTTTATTTTGGAGATTGAATATTTAATATCCGCCACGTCAAACCGACATAATTAAATTCGTCAGGGTTTAATCCCTAACATCGGTAAAAATAAAATAAAATAGAATGGGCGAAAAACAAACCAAAGCTGACAATTTAAAGGAACCCCCTGAGAGAATGTCAATTATAGAGAAGGAGAAGAATAATTAATATGGCTGTATATTTCTTTAAAACGGCAAACCGACGATGATGAATTGTTGGGCGTTGTCGGTATATAGAGAAACAATCTTTTCACGTCTAAAATGCGCCATGGATTAAAATTAATGATGAGAAATTGTTTGACAATTATCTACGAACAAAGGCAAGATGCTTCCTGGAATTTCGATTGTTTTTGCGTAATTGGTGCCATTTTATTTAGTGAGTTTATCGAACAGGAGAATTTAATTATGGAGAATGGAACTTTATGTATACAGAGTGATCAGCCTTTTTTGAATGGTTAGTGCTGCAGATTTATTCAATGAACACCATCTGGATAGGAATGTGAATAGAAAATTCGTTTTAGAGTTGGTAGCGAAGTTCCGAGAAACAGGATCAGTAGCGAACAAAACTTTGGTCCGGTCAGGAATGAAGCTGCTGAGATGGGACTTTTAGGATAACTTGTTGCTGATTCAACTTTGAGCACGAGAAAATTACCTACGGTTACCAACATTCCAAAAACGACTATCCTCCGGATCCTTCGATCTTGTAAATTTCCTCCTTACAAGATTTATTTAATCCATGAATTAAATAAGGAATAACCGGCGAGTGAAGTTTTGCGAAACTATGACTGAACAAATAGCTCACGATGATAATTTGCTTTTAAACATATTTTTTTCAGACAAATCTACGTTTTCTTTATTTAACTGCCAATCGCCATAACTACTGTAAATAAATATCTCGAAAACAACCCAAGTAGCATTATAGTGACAAAAACTTATATCGCAACTTCACATGATGGGTAATTATGTTTAAATAACTAAATCTACCACGATACAGTTGAAATATCTTCATCTTATATTAGCATAGTTGTTATCATGTAATTTGCACCATCAGAATATACTTCATAGTTTTATAACTTTTTGGTGTATCAGTCTGGTATCTAAAAAGTTGTTTAAACTTTTAGATTATAAATAGTAAAGGCAACCAAACCACATCACTTAAGTATTACTTGAAAGTGGCAGTAGTAGTATAGTTTTCGGAACTTTTCCCAAACCTTGAATGTGGAAGAACTTGATTATATAATTTCGGTGGTCATTGCCACGTACTTGCTACATGCTTAAGTGATTTCCACGTTTCGCATAGGATTACCACCTTCTGTAAAAGCAGACATGTTTACAAATAGTGGCCATTGTAGGAAAATAAAAGTGTAGTTTCAACGGTGCTTATATTTCGAGCTAGGACGGATAATATTTATTTGTGTTAATTTTATGTCTTCGGATTATTTTAATTCTAGTTATTATTTGCAAGTTATTTGTTTTCTTAGATTATAATAATTTTAGTATTCAGTATCAGTATAATATGCTGGAAAGAGGCGAGGATAGAAAGTAAAGAGTTGTAAAGTTTCGCTTTTGGTCACTATACCGTTATAGTGAAGTAATCACAACGTAGTATAAACGTGTGTAATTTTTATCCACTAAAAATGCTTCTTGGGGAATAAATAGAATTTTACTTTTTTTATGATACTCAATTAATATATCACTTGCGAAGGGGTGAAGGGGTAAAGTTAAATTATAACTTTTTCTGAAAGGAAATGAATGTATCGAATAAGAAAATTGAATTGATGTGAATGAAATTGTATACATCGATGCATACTCTCTCTAAAGTCGTTTCGATAAACGTTATTTCCGCTTTTGCTGTTTCCTTATCTTTCTCATAAAAATTCCGGTCGAGATATGTTTTTTATTGCGTACCTACTTACCTCAAATCGTGAAATAAAAAGCGGCGCAGCACAGTAGCATTATTTCATAAATAAAATAGCCGAAATTTATATTCAACGACCGATGTGCAAGTGGAAACGTTTTACGAAGTGGAAAGCAATGTATCCTCTTAAAACCGGAAAGTACAAGATGAAAGATTTTATGGACGATGGGGCTGCAGCCAACAATTTTCAGGAAGCCGTAGACAATAATTATCTTCTTAGGAGAGCCATTAGAGCTTTGTTTCACTTGCAATTAATTTTTAAGCATGGGGAAATAATTAAACAGATTTATGCACTTCAATTTGCGCTAAGTGAAGGTAGCAGAGTTTATATTGTAGTAATTATGATAAATGCAAATTTTTTAATTCATCGTGCATTTAGTAATTTGACTTCTCCCGTGAGACAATATAATTGCAAATTAAAATAATTGAAGATCAAAAAAGGATATAATTACATTTTTATTGGCAATTAGATATCATATCTTTTATATACGCCCATTATCGTACATGTTTCCATAACACTATAATTGACCTTTTAAATACACATTGACAAGTTGTGGATTTATGGCGCTTTAGTCACGGGCTGAAGTTAGCAACAGGTTTTTAGTCACGGGCTGAAGTTAGTTTTAAGTTGTCAAATGTCATACAATCTTTAAAATGTGCCTTTCTTGTAAAATAATACTAAATTTGAAAATTATTTTATTATCTCAATACAAAAATACAAAAGTATTAAATAATTTCTTGACGCCACTATTTGAAAAGATTATATAAACGTTTGTACTGACCTTTTGATTTCGCCGTAGTAGCGTTAAAAATTTTGCGTATAGTGCCCATTAAATATTCTCTTCCCTTTTACTGTGAAAAACTGCTTCTATATCGATTGTTAGTCTATTTTCAAGGGATACATTTTGATTTACACAGAAAAATTTGAGATTTTAACGCCGGTAGATTCCCAAGTTATTCTAACGGGAATTCCAATAAATACAACTGTCACTTTTTGTACCTTTTAACATTTCCCGTGTTTAATACTTAAAGATAATATTTTGCAATTATAGTAATAAAAAAATGCTCTTAGCATAATTATATTTTAATATTTAAAAGTATCAATAATAATTCTTGTTAAGTTTAATTAAAATAATAACGGGCAATGTTAATGGTGAAAATTACGCCAGAAACGTTTATTGTGATGGTTACTTTATTTTCGTATATATATATATATATATATATATATATATATATATATATATATATATATATATATATATATATATATATATATATATTCGCTTTATACAAATACTTAATTTTAGACATTAATAAGTATTTGTCGTAGAAAAAGTATAGTATGCAACTCGTTTATAAAATTTTCTAGGCACTTTAATTAAGCACTCACTTGCTCGCAAGTTCGTTCATGCCTGAATTAAATTCGTGACTAAAATGGCGTTTATCAAACTTGATACATAATATACTATTAATTTGTGTGGATACTTTTTTAGGGAGTAAAAGACAAAATTAAAAATAATTTTTGGCTTTTGTAAAAACCAGTGTTTGTTTTTGTGATTTTTAATTCTTTTAATACCCTCTTATTAAACAAATTATATAAATATGACAGATGTCAAAAGTGACAGATGTCAGACGTGTAGATGTCGGTCCATCCATATCAAGTAAACCAATTTAATTTAAAAAGGATTCTAACAAAATGTATTATTTTTTTATTTTTAACCTATGTTTGTACGGTACTCAGAGACTTCGTTATAGGAATATACACTGAAAATACAGCTTGCCAAGTAGACTTGAAATGTGGACGCATACATTTACATGTAAAAATAACAAGGCCTAAAAACAAGCATTTCATTTTAGCCCAATTGTATTTTTAACCAATTTCCAGCAAGAGCTCTTTCGGAAAATGGCGCTTTCCTTGTATTTTCACAATGCACTTGTGTAAGTGGTTAATAAGCACTGCTTATATTAATGACAGTAATAATTGCTTAATATGCCGCCGCGGCGGTTTTAATTAAAACGTGTCATCGTCTGTTGTTCTTTCAGGTGCGACCTTTCAATTAATGTGCCACTCTGATCGAGCAAGTTGTTTTCAATGATCAATACATCAGAGTGGCCTTCTATTTCGCACTCGGTTTATTTTGCCTCTACCACAAGCAATTAGGGCTAAAAGACACTCGAATGTTAAATTGATTTAGAAAGGGTTGGTTGGACCTTTTTACTTTACTGAATATATAACATGATCCTGGGTGTGGAAACTGTTTAAAGTCTGTCTTGTCGTGATTTATTTAGTGTTTAATGTAACTTTTTTGTTATGGTGACTCCCATCAAATATCAAAAAATTCATTACCAGACAGATATAAATCATGTTCATTATTACCAAGATTAAATTTTGTATTTAATCTAATGAACGCCCCGAAAGGTTTTGTCGCAAATTTCATTACTCTTCATTTCGAAATTTTAATTAAAATGTTTTTAGCATCAAAGCAAACTAATTT